ACTCTCAGCAGACAGTACTCTTACTAACCCTCAGCAGACAGTACTCTTACTACCCCTCAGCAGACAGTACTCTTACTAATCCTCAGCAGACAGTACTCTTACTAACCCTCAGCAGACAGTACTCTTACTAACCCTCAGCAGACAGTACTCTTACTAACCCTCAGCAGAAAGTAATCTTACTAACCCTCAGCAGACAGAACTCTTACTAACCCTCAGCAGACAGTACTCTTAATACCCCTCAGCAGACAGTACTCTTACTAACCCTCAGCAGACTGAACTCTTCTAACCTCAGCGACAGTACTTTACTAACCCTCAGCAGACAGAACTCTTACTAACCCTCAGCAGACAGTACTCTTACTACCCCTCAGCAAACAGTACTCTTACTAAACTTCAACAGACAGTACTGTTACTAACCCTCAGCAGACACTACTCTTACTAACCCTCAGCAGAAAGTAATCTTACTATCCCTCAGCAGACACTACTCTTACTAACCCTCAGTACAGAGTCTACTAACCCTCATAGCGTATCTTACTAACCCTCAGTAGAACAGTATCTTACTAACCCTCAGCAGACAGTACTCTTACTAACCCTCAGCAGACAAGTACTCTTACTAACCCTCAGCAGAAAGTAATCTTACTAACCCTCAGCACACAGTACTGTTATTAACCCTCAGCAGACAGTACTCTTACTAACCCTCAGCAGAAAGTAATCTTACTATCCCTCAGCAGACACTACTCTTACTAACCCTCAGTAGACAGTAGTCTTACTAACCCTCAGTAGACAGTAGTCTTACTAACCCTCAGTAGACAGTAGTCTTACTAATCCTCAGCAGACAGTACTCTTACTAACCCTCAGCAGACAGTACTCTTACTAACCCTCAGCAGAAAGTAATCTTACTAACCCTCAGCAGACAGTACTCTTACTAACCCTCAGCAGACACTCCTCTTACTAACCCTCAACAGAAAGTAATCTTACTAACCCTCAGCAGACACTACTCTTACTAACCCTCAGCAGACAGCAATCTTACTAACCCTCAGCAGACAGTACTCTTACTAACCCTCAGCAGAAAGTAATCTTACTAACCCTCAGCAGACAGTACTCTTACTAACCCTCAGCAGACAGTACTCTTACTAACCCTCAGCAGACAGTAATCTTACTAACCCTCAGCAGACAGTACTCTTACTAACCATCAGCAGACAGTACTCTTACTAACCCTCAGCAGACAGTATTCTTACTAACCCTCAGCAGACAGTACTCTTACTAACCCTCAGCAGACAGTACTCTTACTAACCCTCAGCAGACAGTACTCTTACTAACCCTCAGCAGACAGTACTCTTACTAACCCTCAGCAGACAGTACTCTTACTAACCCTCAGCAGACAGTAATCTTACTAACCCTCAGCAGACAGTACTCTTACTAACCCTCAGCAGACAGTACTCTTACTAACCCTCAGCAGACAGTACTCTTACTAACCTTCAGCAGACAGTACTCTTCCTAACCATCAGCAAACAGTACTCTTACTAACCCTCAGCAGACAGTATTCTTACTAACCCTCAGCAGACAGTACTCTTACTAACCCTCAGCAGACAGTACTCTTACTAACCCTCAGCAGACAGTACTCTTACTAACCCTCAACAGACAGTACTCTTACTAACCTCAGCAGACAGTACTCTTACTAACCCTCAGCAGACAATACTCTTACTAACCCTCAGCAGACAGTATTCTTACTAACCCTCAGCAGACAGTATTCTTACTAACCCTCAGCAGACAGTACTCTTACTAACCCTCAGCAGACAGTATTCTTACTAACCCTCAGCAGACAGTACTTCTTACTAACCCTCAGCAGACAGTATTCTTACTAACCCTCAGCAGACATACTCTTACTAACCCTCAGCAGACAATACTCTTACTAACCCTCAGCAGACAATACTCTTACTAACCCTCAGCAGACAATACTCTTACTAACCCTCAGCAGACAGAACTCCTTTAACCCAGGAACAATACTCTATAATTCCTCTGAACAGACGTCCAATAACTGCCTCAGAACAAACTCGGACAACTCACAGGGTGACTCTTCTACCAGCAGACAATGTGCACAACCCTAGCGACATTATCTTCTAACCTAGGAGAAGGTATTTACTACCCTTCAACAGCGAATGCGTCCAACGGCTCGCACGATCCTGTACCCTCAGCAGAAGGAAATGCTGGCCAACTCTTACTAACCTCACAGCATGTGCTACAAGGCTCAGCACATCCTTGTACCTCAGCAGACAATACTCGGTACTAACCTTCACAACAGACCCATGGTGAAGGAATCTTCATATTCCCTGTGATACAGCGTGCCAAACTGCCTGTGCACACTGTGCCACCTAACAGCCGATGGTGCCAAGGCTCATCATCCTGTCCTCTAGGAGAGGAAATGGGTGCCACTTCTAACAGCCGATGGTGCCAAGGCTCATCATCCTGTCCTCTAGGAGAGGAAATGGGTGCCACTTCTAACAGCCGATGGTGCCAAGGCTCATCATCCTGTCCTCTAGGAGAGGAAATGGGTGCCACTTCTAACAGCCCGATGGTGACCAAAGGCTCATATTTCCTACTAGAGAGGAATGGTGCACTCTAACACCGATGGTGCAAGCCATATCCGTCTCTAGGAGAGGAATGGTGCACTTCTAACACCAGGTGCAACGTACTCAGGATCCTACTTGAAGTGCCAAGGGGCACCAACGCTATGTACACGTCACACGGAAGGACTGACTTAAGTCTAAGAGTCTCTCACTTTGTTGACGTAGGCAGGCCTAAGAAACCTTTATCTTTCCAAGTGGGCAGGCCTAAGAAACCTTTATCTTTCTACGTGGGCAATCCTAAGGATCCTGCTTTCCAAGTGGGCAGGTCTAAGAATCCATCTTTACAAGTGGGCAGGCCTAAGAATCCATCTTTCCAAGTGGGCAGGCCTAAGAATCCATCTTTCCAAGTGGGCAGGTCTAAGAATCCATCTTTCCAAGTGAGCAGGTCTAAGAATCCATCTTTACAAGTGGGCAGGTCTAAGAATCCATCTTTACAAGTGGGCAGGTCAAAGAATCCATCTTTCCAAGTGGGCAGGTCTAAGAATCCATCTTTCCAAGTGGACAGGCCTAAGGATCCATCTTTTTCACGAGGGCACTCCTAAGAATTCATTTTTTATACGTGGATAGCAATAGGAACTCATTTCTTTCACTTGTGCAGACCTAAAAATCCATTTTTTTCACGTAGGCGGTGGCATAAGAATCTCTTTCCTTTTTCTGGGTGAGTGGGCCTAAGCATCCACCTTCTAATTTGTGCGGAAGTTATTTATTGATTTCCGTCAAAGAAATTACGTGAATTTGTCACAGTGAAAGTTATTCGAGGCTGAAAAAAGAGAAGAGGGGGCATTGGAAGAGAGGGAGAAGAGATGGAGAAGAGAGGGAGAGGGCGGAGTGGAAGAGAGAATGTTGTGGAAACAGTGGTAGAAGGTGAATTAGAGAAAATTAACCTTAAAACCTTTCTCTACCTTTCCCAGCTCCCTCTTACTGACAGCCAACCTCCACCCAGTTCACCCATCACCCATCCAGTAACTCAACCTCTTTCCTCCTCCTGGTGATTGGTGATTATGGTGATATGACAGATGGTAATGACGGGACCTACCAGGTGGCGGTCATGGTGACATGTCAGATGATGATAATGGCAACCTGTCAGATGATGATAATGGCAACCTGTCAGATGATGATAATGGCAACCTGTCAGATGGTGGTCATGGTAATATGTCAGTTGTTGATAATGGTAACCTGTCAGATGGTGATAATGGTGACTTAATCAGTATGGTGGTAGGTATAGTAACCTGTCAGATGGTGGTAATGGTGATCTGCCAGACTGTGTACGCCTTTTAGATGATTTTGGCCTAAACATTACTGGGGAACACCGTAGACAGTGTTGGTCAAATTTCAGGTGAGGGAGAGGGTCAGGTCATGATAAAATGATGGTGTTATGCTGATCTTTGTACAAGATATCTACACAGTGGTAGTAATGATGATGCCTCTACAGTTGTGGTGATGCCTAGTGGTGATACTCCCTCCTGTTGTGTGATGCCTTGTGGTGATACTCCCTCCTGTTGTGGTTATGCCTAGTGGTGATACTCCCTCCTGTTGTGTGATGCCTTGTGGTGATACTCCCTCCTGTTGTGTTATGCCTAGTGGTGATACTCCCTCCTGTTGTGTTATGCATTGTGGTGATACTCCCTCCTGGTGTGGTGATGCTAGTGGTGATACTCCCTCCTGTTGTGTAATGCCTTGTGGTGATACTCCCTCCTTTTATGTTGTGGTGATGCCTTGTGTGTGATGCGGTGATACTCCCTCCAGTTGTGGTGATGCCTTTACTGCTGTGGTGATGTCTCTGTTGTCATGGTGATGACTCTACTGTTGTGGTGATGCCTCTAATGTTGTGGTGATGCCTTGTGGTGATACTTCCTTCTGTTATGGTGATGCCCCTTCTGTTGTAGCGACATTCCATCGTGTTGTGGTGATACCCCTCTCTTGTTGTGATGCCTAGTGGTGATCCTCTAGCTATGGCGATGCCCCTCCTGTTATTGTGATGCCCCTCCTGTTATTGTGATGCCCCTCCTGTTATTTTATGTGATGCCCTCTGTTATTGTGATGCTGAGTGACATCTGTTGTGGTGACGCTCCTCCTGCTTTGGTGACGCCCCTCCTGTTGCGGGGGCAAGAGTTTAACTTCTAGACAATCAGAGCCTAGAGGATAGGCGATCAGAGCGCCTCTCCAAGTCTTCGTTTCTCACTCTGAGTCCCACTGTGACCTTGGCAAAGATAAAGACGGCAACTCCGCCAGTGGTGGACCACCACTACCACCACCACCACTGTGGCGGTGGGTGGGTGGGTGGCGGGGATGGCGGCTCGTGTGGGCGGCAGGCGGCGCTCCCCCCCCACCACCCCTCCCGGCTTCAGGTGGGCGGCGCAAGAAAACACAACCTACCCTGTGAGGTGTTGTTGCTGCTGCTGCTGCTGCTGCGTCTGCTGTTGTTGTTGTTGTTGCTGCTGCTGCTGTTGCTGTTGGTCGCTGCTGTCGTAGGACTTGTTGGACTTGGCCTCCTTCTGGCGGCTCTGCTGGTGGGCCTTGTCGTCCCGGGCGTCGCCAGAGCCGCGGAAAAGGAAACGCGGGACGGGGAAGGTGAAGAAGGACATGGACATGGCTGCCAGTCGGCCCGACAGATGGTGCAGTTCACCCGGCCCCTTCACACACCCCTTAGGGCTGTCTAACCCATCACCCCGGGGGCTTGTCACAACCCCTTTCCCCTCACACCCCTGCCCACCCCACTCAAAACCCCCTTCCCCCCGGGGATGGGTCGCCCCGTCCCTTTCGCTACCCGGGACTCAGGTTTAAGCGCCCCTTTTTCCGGCCAGTGTCCGACCCGCTCGCCCCCACCCCCGGGGTTTGCTCTTCCCCGGGGCTTTTTCACTGCCCACCTCACGCCCTGGCACCCCCGCGAGGACGCGGCACGGGTGCCGGCTCAGTGGGGCACTGACGGGCGTGGAGTGGGTGGACTGTGGGCGGACTGGAGAGAGATGGGCGGTGGGCCATGGCATGCGGGGCGCACGAAAACAAAACACATCGCAGGAAAGGGGGAGGGAGGGGGTCAGCACTGAGCACTGGGAGGAGTCAGCACTCCAGCACTTATCACTTGGGGGTCAGCACTCCAGCACTTATCACTGGGGGTCAACACTTCAGCACGGAGCACTCGGGGTTAACACTTCAGCACGGAGCACTCGGGGTCAACACTTCAGCACTGAACACTGGAAGGGGGGTCAACACTGGGGCTTCAGACTGAGCACTGGGGGTCAAGACTGAGCACTGGGGGTCAAGACTGAACACTGAGCAGCGGCCAGAGGCTATATTGGAGTGAGGGCGCTACAGAGCGCCAGGCTGGCTGGCTTCCTCGTTGACTCTCTCTCATCAAGAGCTGGGGAAGCCAGTCGGATCTCCATAGATAAGCCGCCTCTCTCCCCCCGCCCAGGGGCGGCGGTGGGCGTGGTGGGCGGCGGTGGTGGGCGGCGGTGGGCGGCACAAGCCTCACTCTCACACACACACACATACACCGCCACACACAGCAAGGACTGCACGCGACGGCAGCAGCAATGAAAGTGCCAGGCACCCTCAGTGCCAGCCCTTCACTCACCCTCCCTTCCATCCTTCCCTCCCTCCCTCCTTCACTCCTCCACTCACAACCACCCCCAACATATCCCCCCCTCCTCCACCCCCATTTCCCTTCCCCGCCACGCACTACCAACAGTAACCACCTCCTCCACCACCATCACCACCACTACAACTGCACCAATCTAGGTCCACCATCATCACCACCACAACAGTACCACTACTACTCTCCTCCCAGCGCCACCAGCAACATCACCACCACCACCGCTGTCATCACCCTCTCCACAACACCACCACCGCCATAAATACAACCAACACCCACAAGCACAACAATAATACGTCTACAAACATCACCACCATTACCTCCAACAATACTCCCCCCCCACCCCACCACGTACGCGCTCTCATGGGATCATTGAACACAGCTCCTGTACAACAAATGCACATGAACATGCGTACAGAGAACGCTAGCAAAATACGTGCATTGTACATTGATTGCCTACACACACACACATACACCAAATGTAAGGTAAAAAGGGGCGTACACAATGTACGCAAAGAGCGTACACGGTGTACACAATAAGATGTTTACACGGAAAGCCAAGATTCGCACAGAGTAAGTAGATGTGTACACAGAGTAAGCAAAGACGAATATACAGTATACACAAGAAAGATGTGTGCATAGTGTACGTAGGGGAAAATGCGTATGAAGCGTACCCTAACAGGACACTTACACAGCGTATGCAAAGAAGATGCGTACACGGGGAGCCAAGCAAGAGTATAATGCCAAGATGGCGGCCACCTGTGTTGATGTGGTCTCTGACCCACCTGTAGTAGTCCTCTTTAACCACAAGTGTGAGTTTCTCTCTCTTTCTCTTCTTTCGCTCTTTTTCTCTTTCTCTCTTTCTCTCATTCTCTCTCTCTGTCCCTTCATTAGATGGTGTGAGTGGGAGGGGACGGGAAGAAGAAAGAGAGAGAGAGAGAGAGAGAGAAAGACTAAATGAGGATGGAGGAAGAGGGAAGGAAGAGGCAGGGTGGTGATAAACGTGAGGGAGAGACAGGCATCACTTCGAAACATAATGAAATAGCTAATCTTCATAACCAATCTCTCATGTTCGCATACTCACACTCTTATCACTCACATCAACAAAACACACACACACACCACACACACACACACACACACACACACACACACACACACACACACACACCACACACACACATAATACACAACTAAACACATACAATATATATATATATATTATATATATATATATATATATATATATATATATATATATATATATTATATGTATATATG